TGCGCAGGTGATGCTGCACTCCGCTTTCCAGCCAAAGCACTTCAGCTCCCTCCACTCTGAAAGGCTGCGGAGTACAGCCACGGGTGTATGTGGGTGCAGGCAAACCATCCGGCTGCTCCCTGGTTCCCGTCAGTGCTCTGGGAAGTCCCTCATTTCAGGGCCCAGCTACGGGACTCATTTGTGCCACAGCTCCTGGGCTGGTGCAGCTGGTTTGTGCTCTGCGAGGTTACAGTGCTCCACAGCCACAGCTGGATAAGCCGTGGCGAGCGGTGACGGGGCGTGCTGGTAAAACACGGAGACAAAGCTGTGTTCAAGACCTGATTGCCTGCACAGGTTACATGCTCTGGTTGGAGCTTCACCATATAATTCATGTTTGCAAATGCTCTGTTTGGGGAAGGAGAGCTCACAGCTCCTTTCCTGGCTGCATCTCCTGGTTTCTGTGTAAATGCTCTGGTTTTGGAAGGTCTTCAGCTACACCCTGTGTTAGTGTTCAACGTGCTCTTACCCATTGTCTTTTCAGTTACTATTCAGTCATGGTTATTTAAACCCTGAGATGAAAAATAAACTATTCCTTTGTTTGCCTGTTCCTCTGCTTTGTGGCATTCCCTCTCAGATCAGTGAGGCAGGAGACGGCAGTGCCTTCGCTGGCTTCTCCCAGGGATGAAGCGTGCGGCACCCGTGCGATGTGGCGGGACAAAGCCTCCATCTCCTGGCAGCAGAGCCGCACGGCAGCCAGGCGCCGGGTTCTGTCTGCAGGAGTTGTTCCAGAAAGGAGGCAGAAAGCTCGCCGAGGAAGCAGAGCAAAGCCTTGGCGTGCGTGGTGTTCCCTACAAGGCTCGACCCCTCCGGTCGCGGTGGAGTGTGGCATTTATCCACAGGCATCTCAGGGCTTGTTCTGGTAGCCCAGGCAGGGAAGTGTCTCTGTTTGAGTTCTGTCTCTGAGACCTAGAAATTTTTGTCCTGGTCCTGAAAAAGGTTCTCATGAGGTTATTTTAATGCATTTCTGCCTGATGAAGCCCCAGCACCATCCAACATCTCTTTTCCAAGGGTGACTGGAAGTGAGATGCTACCCTGCAGGCAGTTTAAGGAGGGGTCAAGCTTAGGGATACTCTCTCTCAGCTTCTGAGAGTGAGCTCAGCATGTTCACACTCTCCTAAGGGTACCTCAGAACTGAATCTTTCTGGAGTCCCCCAGAAGAAACTTAAAAGACCACGTTCAAACTATTTTTCATAAGTAATAAAGAGGTGAGGGGCAGTTCTCAGCATTGCAGCTGCGGCTCGACGCTCAGGGATTTTTCCATGTCGAGATTTGCCCCTTCCATTACTTTTCCCCCTTTGAGCTTCTTGTGAATGCCGACTACCTGGTACCAAGGGAGACTTGCACACAGACACTTATGTTTATTTTTGTAAATGTTTTTTAAAAGAATGACAAGGGGATTGCAAATGGATCTGAGCAAAGACAGAAAAAGACCACAAAGGAGAAAACACTTTAGCAATAAGACAGGGGAGCGCTGAGCTCTGCCAGCATCTCAGCGGGGTCTGCCAGGTTGTTTTGCATCCCTCAGCTTACACTGACAGCCCCTTGGCCCTGGCAATTGGAGAGTGACAATTGTCCCATGGCTGACGGTCTGAGGGGACTTTGACGTGTCGCGTAGGCTGCCACCGTGCTCTCTGGGATCTGCACCTGCGCTGGCTCTCTGCTTATGGGAGCAGGGTGGTTTAAAGGTGGCAAGCCACCTCCAGAGTCACCTCTGCAAAGCATTGGCTGCACATGTAGTGCCTGCAAGCCGCTGGCATGGCGTGTGTTGGCCTGCTTCACCGGTTGCCTGTGGCTCCTGAAGTGCTTTCAGAGCACAATCACTTCCCTGTGTCAAGAGCTCTCAATTGCCTGTATTTTTGAAATTGTTCAAATCTTCCCCCAACACCGTCCTCCTTTCCACAGATGCCAGCTGAGAACTGTCCATGTCCAGGCCCCCGCTGCGCATCCCCCCAGAAAGCTGGAGATGCATTTTGTGGTGGGACACCTGTGTGTGCCAGGCGGTGACAACAAACCCTTCCTGCAGAAGGGGCACGGCGGTGGCACAAATGGCAGCGGCTCCAGGGGCCCACGCATGGCACGTGTCAGGGTCACACAGTTACAGCCTGTGGACTGCCCCAGCTGTCCTTGTGGCCACCCCCCGTAGATCCTGCCCAGGCAGACCTGGCTGGAAGGGGGATGGTGCTCACATGCAGGTTTTTCCCAGTCCCCTCGATTACAACACTCAAACACAGCCCAAGGAAATAGCAGCTGCCTTGGAGGTCCCATCCCCACAGCAGGAGTGGCACCCAAGGGGGGGTGGGGGGAAGGAGAGGCAGTGAGAGGGGAAGTGACTTTCCCAGGGCCATGCACCCAGGGAGCCATGCTGCCTTTCAGGTCATGCCAAGCTCCTTCGCCCCAGGGAATGGGGCAAGTTTGCCCCCAGGGCCAGGGCCCCCTCGCCTGCCCGTGTGTCTGACTGCTCTGTCTCCCCCAGGTATCTCTCAGCCACGAGTGCACTCGCGCCATCATGAAGCTGATGTACTGCCCACACTGCCGGGGCATGTCCAGCGTGAAGCCGTGCAACAACTACTGCCTGAACGTCGTGAAGGGCTGCCTGGCCAACCAAGCGGACCTGAACACCGAGTGGAAGTACCTGATGGGTAAGGTGGCCTTTGCCGCAACACAGCTGCCTCTCACGGCACATTTTGAACTCTCTGAGGCAGTGTTTGACGACTAAAGAAAGGACTGTTGGAGGCTCTTTTACACCACAATTTCTCTGTCCGTGATCTGACGCCTAGAAGCTATTGCAGGACATTTTGGTGGGCTTGAATACCGTTAGAAAGGACACTGCTGGGCTGGCTAACAAGGGCTTGTTTTCATCTTGCCTGTGCTCATTTGAGATTGCTCACATCTTGCACTCAAGTAATTTTTCTTCCCTCTCAAGTGTTGAAGCTTAGGGACAGATCCTGCCACCTGTACGCTGTCAGAGCTGCCACCTCATCTGTACCAGAGCACTTGTGAGAGCACAGGAGCAGCACTTGCAGCCCTCCTTGGGAAGCAGTCTAGAAACTAGCCATAAACTGTTTCCATGGGTAGAGGGCAAAGGGATCAGAATTGCTCACTTCTATATGGGAAGAGGTATCTTAAACAATTACATGGGGAGAGAGAAGTCACAGGCATCACCAGGAATGGGAAAATTAGACTTGTCTTTTAAATAAGAGAAGAGCTCTTTTTGGTTTTGTTTTGTCACTCGGCTGAGACGAGGGGTCTCTTAAAGTGGGTTGCATGTGTATAGAGATGTCCGTTTCACTAAGACTAAAGTCAGAAATATCACTGTGATGGTGTAGTCTGATCTCCTGTGCAACACAAGCTGGAGAACTTCAAACAGGCATTTCTGCAGGAAATCTACCTTGCCTGATCTCTTTTAAGAAGACCTCATGTTTCTCTTAGCTGTTTTTCCAGAGCCTGTGGCTCCTATTTTGAATGTGAACTACTGCTCAGAGTAGCTTGTGGAGCTGATGAACATGGTTCAAGACTGGTGAGGGTCCGTGTTTAGAAAATGGTGTGTTTGTGGTATAGCACACATCCTCTCCCCATCCGCAGTCCATCAGGGGAGGTTGTTTGCAAAGGTAAGGCTCTCACTCTTCCTTGCGCCCACAGAGCATCACCCAGCAAGCTCCTCTTTCTCTCCTGAGTCGTACATTGAGACCAGGAGTGATCTGAGACCTGAGGGAGCCTTGATGTGTGTCTGGGCTCACGGAAGGCAGACACTAGGGGAGATGAGCTTCGGGCTTGGCCTTTTCCCTTGTCTTGGCTCCCGCTGCCTGGCCAGCAAGACTGCCAGCTCACTGGCCAGCTGCAGTCCGACAGGCTGGCTCAGGGTTGACGTGTGGTGGTGTTAACAATAAAAATCCCACTGAAGCTCAAGGAGTGTCATCTGCCTCTCAAGGGACACTGCCAAATAAATACTGACCCGCTGCACACAGAGGCCAGGGCACTTGCTCGGTGAGGTGCGTTGGCCAGCTGCCTGCCTCGCGCTGGGGGCTAATGAACCAAGTGGCAACTTACCGCGGCTAATTGGAAGCGCTCCCCATGCGAGCGACTTGGGAGGCTGCTGTTAAAGAGGGGGAGGAATATTGCCTTCCCCAAGGGTTTACACCAGGATTTTGATGGCACTTTGGCCTTTCTGACCAGAGCAAGCCAAGTGTTACCTGTCACTGCTCTCCTGGCAAGATGACTGCCCGTCACCTGAAAGGTCATCGTGCAGCTCTCCTTGATTGACAGGGAGGCAATTCTGAGTGCATTTTGCACTTATTCTGGCTTCCTCTTCCCCAAGAGACACTGTTGTTGTCAAGAGGTGATGGCTAGGAGCTTCTTTCAAATTGCAGTTGGACATTTTAGTGTCAGAGGTCACAGTTTGATCGAGGACTGGAGCAAGACCTAGAGTCAAAGATAGCAGATCACTGGCATTGTCCATTCTTCACCCTTCTCCAGGCCCTTCTGTGTAGCTGGAGAGTATTTTGTTACACTAAACACAGACTTACTCTTTCAATTTGACAAATTAGGGCAGGTCAAATTAAGGGAGATTTTTATAGTAAGTGGTTCAAACATAATTTATCACTAATTTGGGGGTGCAGCCTTTGATTTAAATGTCTGTATCTCAACATTAGTGCCTCTGCAAGCTAAAATTGTCTGGAAAATGGTCTCAAAGATGACACTGCAACCCCCAAGTGGCAGCAAAGTTAAACTGCAAGCTCTTTAATATTGTGGGAGATGTAATTTCCCAGAATACAAAAAAAAAAATTACACCCATGTATGACATGTTTAGCTTTAGAAATCTGCACTGCCATAGGACTGTGTTGCAGGAAAAGAGAGCGCATTAACTTGGAAACTGTGGCCCTTGTTTCCGTTCTTGCTCCAGCTAACCAGTAAAACCTTTTTTCTTTCTTTTTTTTTTTCCAGTGCTGAAAATAAATTACCTAATGTTTCCAGGCTGTGACTTTACATGTTGTTAAATCCAATATTATAAACCTGAGCAAAGAGTATTTTGTAATCCACGCTCCAGACTGGCTGAGGTTCGAGCCCTCCCAGTTATTTTTCTAATTGACTTGGGCCCTTGCTCCCCACCAGCTGGACCTGCCTTTGGACTGTGAGCCCTGTGGGCATGATCTGGTATCTTCTGTGGGTTTCTGCTGTCCCTGTTCTAGTCCTTGCCCAGCTTGGTCATTCTCTGAGAGCTGTCAGGGTCTGAACATCAGTCATGTAACAGCAGAGAGAACACACTTGTGAGGGTTGAGCGTGCTGCTAATTTGACAACAGTGGGCTCAGGATCAGGCCTTCCTTATTAACATAATACCTCCTCTGTGGACCTAGTGTTTCTGCACAAACCTTGCCTAGACCTCGTGGAAGTCATTTGGGGGTCTTTCTGCCAAGTCCTGCTGGCTTGCCCAGGCACAGGACTGAACACTTTACTTCCCTAGCAGGTTTGAAATGATGGTGGTCCCTGGTTATGCTCCAGCTGGCTGCACTCCTGCTTGAAGAAAATTTGCTATGCGGCTCAAAGACAAGCATCAGTCCTTTAAAGCGGTATCATGGGTGATACATACACACTGTGGCATGGCGAAGGTTGAGGGATATATTTTATTCTGTTGAACTGCTGAGTATAATTCACCTGGTGGTTTCATTACTCCTGAATAATGTCAGGAGTACAAACTCATGCTGAATAAGCTTTTCTGCAACATCACACCATCTGCTGTGACAGTCTCCTGCCAGGCTGATGGGTGAGGTATCAGGATTTAGGACAGAAGAATTAATCACTCCTAATGAATAACTCCATTTATGAATGGTACACATCTCCAACCTAGACCCTGGGGTTTGACACTCATTGTTTAGAGAAGAAGAACCAACATGAAGCCATTGCGCTTGTTTTCTTCCATGTGGCGAGCCCACAGGAACGTGGAGCACTTTCTGTTCCAGATGAGTGCAGGCCACCACATCGATCCTACAGATCCCTTGTCCTGCCAGAAGGTTTTTGGTGTGCCCTGGGGGACACAGACCGCACTGCAGCCGTCTGAGGTCACACATAACTGAGTGACAAGTCCCTAAATGCTGATGAAGCCTATGCATGGCCTGGCCTCCAGCCCACTAAAGCACAAGTGGTAGGAAACTGAGGCAGCAGCAGTGTAGCAGTGACTTTCAGAATTAGAATTTTTGACTGGCAAAGTCAGACCTGGTTAAAATCACATTTTAGATGTCCAAACCCAGTTTTGGCCCTGCCATGGGATCCTATTTAATTTTCGCTGGACACCGAGGATGTCAGCCTCTCTCTGCAGTGGCATTCCCCAGTGACCCAAGCCCTGCGAGCATATAGGCTGTCCTTGCTTCAGACCCAGCTGGAGTGCTGAGAAGCATCTTCGGGGGTAGGCAGAGGTTGGTAATTTTTTTGTAAGAAGCCAAGCATGGTCCCCAAGCAACCATCCAGGCAGGAGCTTCCAGGCCAGGCAGGAGCGCTTGCATAGCAGAGCTTTCCAGGACAAGAGGAATCGAGAGACACCCCTCAGTCACTCCCTGTCCTGTTCACCAGTTCAGTTGTGGGCATTGTGGTCTGCTCCTCTGCCTTTAGAACCTGGTATTTCCCTGGCTGGCCACATGTTGTCTTTCCAGAGGTGAGGGTGAGAAGAATTACTCCCTTTCTCACACCTTCACTGCCACAGCAGCTGTTGTCCATGTCCAGTGCCTTTGGCACTTGGCTGACCCCAGTCCTCCCGCTGGCTGCTGGCTGCAGTGCTTTGCTGAAGGTACACAGTGAGTGTAGAGGGTTAGGTCCAAGTTTTGCTATGCATTACTTAGTATTTCTGCACCAATTTTCTGTTTTTCCTTTCTGTAGCACCCCAGGAAATGTTGCTCACTTTGTGTGAATACAGGTTTCATTTACCATTTGCAGGAGGTGACCTCTGTCCCTCTGCCGCTGAGGGTGGCTGGGAAGGGACAGCTGTCCCATGCCAGAGGAAAATGAGCGTGCACTTGGGCAGCAGTGAAAACGGAGAGATGTCTCCCAAGAAGCCTGCTGAGGGGCCAACAGCTTATCCCACCCGGCATGAGCGTGGTCTCTAACCTGGTTTGTACAGAGTCTGATGAGAGTTGTCTCTGTCTTGTTTTACTAGATTCCCTGGTAGTAGTGGCTGATCGGATCGATGGACCGTACAACGTAGACACTGTAATAGGGACCATTCACATGAGGATCGCCGAAGCTATTTCTAACTTGCAAGAAAACAAAGATTCGATCACAGCCAAGGTAAGAGCGTGTGCCTGGGCCTGGCTGAGCACACACCAGGGGTAATTGCCAGGACCACATGGGTTTTGTGCTTACTAGTCAGCTGACCTAAAGGAGATGAAGGATGAAAGAGATCAAACACCCACTCTTTTAACGATAGAAAACCACCCATCTTACATGGGCAAAAACCTGCTCAAGTGTTTCCAAATATTCCTCCCTGACACATCCAGCCAGCCTCCTTTAGGTACAGACACACAAGGTGGACTGCATGTGCAGTGACTGTGGGAGGCATGGTGCCATTTGCTGTCAGGTGCCTCTGTGTCTGAAGAGCCCTGAAGTATTTTGGCTGAGCTGAGGCATTTGCAGAAAGTACACAGTCCCTAGTGACAGAAGGCAGCTGCTTTAACCCACCTTCGGGTGACGTTCTGCAGTGGAAACACTGGGCTATTGGTATGTGTCTGTGGGACAGAGCTGCAATCTGGCAGTCCATCTGGAGAGTATGAAACAGGCTCTCCTGATGCTCACCTTTCTTCCAAGAAGTATATCATGAAGCTGTCTTCTATGGGTCTCCTATTTTTAGTATCTTTATCCACTTAACCACAATCATCTCTGTGGCTGCAGGTAAGAGAAGCTTTGGGAACCAAACCAGCCCTCCAGGGCTTCTGCTTTTTGCCCAGACATTCCCCGAGTCCTGCAGCTATCCCGCTGTTAGGGCAGAGGTGCAGATGAAAGGAGCAGGGCAGGTCCCAACTGGGTCTTGGAGAAGGGAAGGGCCAGAAGTATTGCTTAGCCAAGCAGAATTCACTGGCGTACGTCAAAGCACTAACAGCAGCATGCATCCAAGAACTTGTTTAGGTTTCTTTTCTGACATGAAAGGCTGTATTCTTTCTTCCCTTGTTAGGTGAGACTGAGGTTGTCCACATAAAAGCACGCCCATGATGTGGGAAAACATGGCATCATCTGCAAAGAAAGGTGTTTCTGAGGGGCGTATAGTAAATCTGGTAAAACAAAAGGGAGTAAGTAGTCTAATTGGTGTTTGATTGGAGCAACCAAACATGTGCGATAAGCTGCTCAGTATGATCTGGTGGCCAGATGAATGTGGCAGTCTGCTGGTGGCACTGGTAACAGAGGTCAAGAGCTGCAGAGGGCTGCAGCTCTAAGCTCTGGTTCTGAGCACGGCAAAGTGGAATCACTGTCAGATGAGCTCGGGACTGGCCCAGGCCAGTCCTAAGAGTCTTGTCTGTCAGGGCCGAAGGCAGCGGGCTCAGGCTGCAGCTGAGGGCTTCAGCCATTACCAGGCTAGAGCCAGGGCACTGCACTGTCTGCCATTTGTAAGAAGAGCCAGAAGTGGCCCTTGGACTCAGTGACACCCTCAGTCATGGGTTCTCCTGGGATCTGGGGAAAAACTGGAAAGAAACACTTTGGTACAGAGCCCTGCGTTCGCTGCACCGCGCAGCACTCTCCCTGCTTCCTCGCACTCCCCCCTCGCTCCCTGTGGCGCTCTGATGGATTTCCAGCAGCAGGAGCTGTTGAAGGCTGCAAACACCTCTTTGCTGTCATTATGCAGGAGACTATTGATCACCTCAGTCTGCAGGACTTGTGTTCTCTCCATCAGTAATGGGTGTTCCTCACCTAAAGCCCCTGGGCTGGCAGGAGGATTGCCTTGATACCATGCTGTGCCGGAGCTGCTAGAAGAGCCGCTGTCCTGGAGATCTCCCAGGGCTTTTACCTCCTGAAAGAGTTGTCTCCTGCTAACAGTAATAGGCCAATAAGAAAGACAGAGCAGAGAAACCAAATTGGTTTTATTTTGGTAGAACCAAGTTGAAAATGCTCTACGTGCAGTTTTCAGGGTGGGGCTTTTTGCACAGAGCAAAGCAGACAGATCAACAGCTTGGCTTGGTGCTGAACTGTCGTTGGATCCATCTGGTCAGCAGCACAGTGCACTCCAGGAGGGGGCTTTCTGAATGTCCCTCAGACACACCGATGAGACCCACTGTCACCAAAGGGACTCTTGTCTAGATTAGGACTTTGCTGACGGCTGTCAGAATCCACTAGCAAAAGCGTTCAGCAGCTGGCACAAGCTGCGTTAACAGCGCTCCTGTCTGAGGTCTTGATTGCTCTGCTTTAAGGGGACACCGTGCAAAGTCGGATTTATCGATAGCTTCTGACAGCTCCCTGGTAACCACAACAAGCTTGGAGCCATCTTTTCAAATCAGATGGCTTGCTTTGTAAAGGCTGGTGTTTCCTGAATCAAACTGACAGTGCAGAGGCCCTCCTGACCTTTGGTGCTTCATTAAATCCGGCTGTCCGAGCACTCCTTCCACGAGCCGCGGCGAGGCTCAGTTGCCTGAGCATTGGCTATCTGCAGCGGAGGTGTCTTTGCCTGGACTGGTAATGCAGAGACTGGGAGAAACTGGCGCTTCCAGGGCACTCTTCATCTCCTCCTAGAGGCAAAGTCTGAGGATTTGTACCTTCAAAGCGCTTCTGCTCTCCTTTGGCTACAAGCACACCTGGGCCAGTAGTTAGGATGATGGGAGGTACCCAAAGTTAGGGGGTAAATCAGTTTGACTTCCTCATTTTCCCCTGAAACATCCAATCTGACAGACTGTGACACATCTACTATCTTAGCACTCCCCTGGTCCGAGGGGACGTTCATTTGCTGAAGTGTGGGTGCCAGCTGCAAGAGCCATTGGGGCAGTCCCACCTTGGTCTGTCGTCCAAATCAGTGAAGCTCACATGCTCTGCAGTCTTGAAGCCCACACCACCGGTGTAGTGAGTGTGAGCAACTCCCATCTTGTTCTTCCCAGAATTTTATTTTTCAATCATAATAGGAACAGATAAAATTGCTAGAAATAATTTAATATTCACATTGGTGACTCATCCAAAAACCTACTAATTTCGTGTTAGTGCTGAACGGTTTGCTTGATAGCAGTAACCAAAACCAATTACAGTGTGCTGAAAACACATCCTGCAAATGAGTAACCTGGCCAGAAACTGAGCCAGAATCTCGGACATCTTGCAAGTAGGAAAGATAAAAATACTTGAGAAGAAAATAAAAACCATAACTGTGAAGTACTAATTAATTAAAGAAATAGTATCAAAACATGAGATTGAGAGTTTAGTTTGCTTTTCAGGTTTTCCAAGGCTGTGGAAATCCTAAAATCAGCACAAAAGGTTCCAGCAGCGAGGACAAGAAGAGGCGGGGGAAGGTGGCGTTGGAAGCAAAATCCTCTGCACAAGCCCTGGAGATGCTGGTGAGTTTGCCTCTGACGCTCCCTCCAGGTCTGAAGCTCCCTCCTGGAGCCCTGGAAGCCCAGCTGATGCAGCCCTGGGGCGCCCCAGAGCTCTCCTGGCCCTGAGCATCCTCTTTGGTTACAGGTTTTAGACGCCAAAGGGAATCTGACAGCTCTCAAGACTTACTGGATCACCCTGCCTGGCAGCCTGTGCAGCAAAAAAGTAATGACCAGCTCAGTGGCAGATGACAAGTGTTGGAACGGGATGACCAAGGCCAGGTATGGAGAGGGTCAAGGTGCTAGTATAGCACCGTTCTGGGGTGGGAGAGGGAGAGTTTGATAAAAGGCACTTAAACATCATCTCAGCCAGCCCCACTTGTTCAGACTGAGCCGAAAGGTCTGTCCCTGTCCACAGAAGTGCTGCGTTTCCTGAAAAACTGGTACCTGGGAACGTCAAGCCTGTTGTCATTTTGCTGGGTGTTGGAAGGTTAAGCATTGAAATGCATTTGCCATGAGATAACTGCGTAGTTTTGTAGTAAGGAAGCAGTTTTGCAATTCCACTTGCACTTAGAAGGCTGGACTTGGCTCACGAACTCTAGAGCCGTTGCTGAGAATTGCATGTGCATCTTTCTATCCATACCTGCTCTGAAATGCTGTTTCCTCATGAGAGGAGATGCCCAGGTGACATCAAGCAGCTGCGGAAACACCTCCCACCCATGGCTGGTGGTTAAAGGATGGCTGGGAGGGGAGATGGGCAGCTGCTGCACGTACACCTTTCTCCACTCCTCTCCACAGACCTGCTGGGCTGGTCTCTGCCAGCCTGGAGCCAGCGCCTTCGGTTCTTCCATATTTCTCGTCGTTGCCAGCAGTGCCACAGATCTGCAGGAGCACTGCTGAAGGAGCAGCGCAGCTCTGTTTGCTGGTTGACAGCTCCCCATTAAGTGAAGCTTCCCTGGGGGCCTGTCTGGTCGTACGGGGGCAGGGGGCATTGAGTCGTCCCAGGGTGTCGGTTCCCACAGGGATTAACCGGGGCAGGGATGAAGGTGCTCCTCAGCCTCCCGTATGGACAGAGGTTTTCCACAGGGGAGTGTCACTGTGACTCCACAGGTACCTGTTGCCTGAGAGCAACCCTCAGCCCTGTGCACAGCCTTTCCTGCAGGAAACCCCTCCCCACGCCGGGACAGTGATGCTGCAAGGCCAGCAGCCACCTCCTGCAGCTGAGGTGGCCTCAGGGCAAGCCCCAGGCTCTGATGGGGTCTGGCCACGGCAGCGTGGCTCGGCCATCCGCAGAGCTGGCCGCCTCACAGCAAACACCAGCATACGGAGGCTGTTTGACAAGCCAACGCCGCTGACTGCAGCTTCTCTGGGGTTCACAGAGGCTGGATTATCACTGGTGTCCGTAACGGGGAGAGGTGAGCTTAGCTGGGGGGAGACTTCTAAACCTGTCTCCTTCCTTCGCAGTTACCTGCCTGAAGTGATGGGGGACGGCTTAGCTAATCAGATTAACAACCCGGAGGTGGAGGTGGACATCACCAAGCCAGATATGACCATTCGCCAGCAAATCATGCAGCTAAAGATCATGACAAACCGGCTGGGCAACGCAAACATCGGGAATGATGTGGATTTCCAAGACGCAAGTGAGTTTAGCAGAACCGGAGAGGTCTACGGCAGGCGAGAGAGGCTGAGCAGTCAGTCCTGGCAGGCGGCGCGGGCCTCTGTGCAGGCCCTGCAGCTGGGCCCTGACGGCAGAGGGGGGTTGTGGCCACCTGGCTTTTGGCTCAGGGCTGCAGAGGGTCTGTTCGAGTGCATCCAACTTGCTGCAAGGTGGCTGGGGGCTGCGCTGCTCCCAGCACCTTATTGAAACCTCGGGTGCTCTCTCCAGTCCCAGCCCAGCCCTGCTGATGGGGCCACTGGTCCGTCTGCTCCAGAGGTTTCCAGCTGCTGCAGCTGGTGGTTGAAGTCAGCTGGAGATCAGGTACGGGCTTGCATCCTATACTGGGGGATGCAGAGAGCAGGAGGTGGCCGGGGCAGTGCTGGTGCCCTGAGCTCCTGGGGTTGCAGCAGGGGAAAGGCAGGGACATCGCCCGCCTAAGGAAAGCGATCGGGGCTCACCCCGTGTTTGTCTCTGCACAGGTGACGACATGAGCGGCTCTGGGAGCGGTGACAGCTGTCCTGATGATGTCTGTGGCAAAAGACTTTCTAAGAGCCCCAGCACCAGGCAGCCAGAAACACACGCTATTCCTAAGCAGTCTGGACACGGCATCAGTGGGGCCAGCAGCAGATCTTTGCCTTCTACCTTCCTCCTCTTCCTTTCGGTGGCTTTCATTGCCGCGCAGCACTTGTGGCGGTAACTCACTAGCACAGCCAGGAAAGAGACTGCGGCCGAGGGCTTCACTTTGCCAAAACCAACCAACCAACCAACCAACCAACCAATATATTTAATTCACCTTGGCAAAAAAAAAAAAAAGGGGGGGGGGGGGGCGAAACAATTCAGTTGTTTGCTATTTCTGGCAGTGCTCGAGCTGTTTTCTTCTTTCTTGGTCTCTTCCCCAGTGCTGGGCCCTTCTTTCCGTACCTCATTGTTTTACTTTTGTTATTGCCACAGACTGGCTCTCGGGGCTGAAACAAGCCTTTGCAGAGAGGCCTCCGGGGGGGGACCCGGCCGGCCCCTCCGAGGGCACCTCTTCTGCTGCCTCCAGTGGAATATGCAATTGCCCTGATCCTGTTCCCCAGCCGCTGGCCAGAGCGCTGCTTACCGTACAGCTGCCGACAGCACGACAGTGCCCACAGCAACGCCACTTCGTAACGCGGAGAGACTGGGGTCGTTGGTGCTGCTCAAGTGCTGCATTCAGGGGCTCTTTGGGGTTCTTCCTCTGTACCTCCTAGGCAGGCAGAGATGGCCCTTCACTTCCAGCGGCGTACGTAGGAGTGTGAGCAGGTTTGGCGGGTTGAACTGAAACGGTTTGGCAGTGGCTGTTGGACCCAAAAACGCAGAACTCCCTTTTTCTCTGGAAAGGTCACAAGTGGGTTTCTTGACTAGAGCTTGTAGCTGACGATGATTTGAAATGTAGGTCTCCTACATCTAAGTGACTGGGAATGAGTGTTAGGGGTTGGGGTTTGGGGTATTTTTTCTTTGCATGCTAGTTGGAAAGCCATTTTTTACCCAAGTGATAATGGTCCAATTTCTACCTGCAGTGCAGTACCGTCATAGGTAACAGAGAGATGAAAATATGCGCAGTGGGATTCTCCGCTTGACAAACAGTTGTGCTGCCGCCTCCTCCTCTGGCCCCAGCCGTGGATGGGAATCCCTTTTTTTTTGTAATAAGACAGACCAGGGACTTTTTACTAACTGGAGCATTGTGACTGGTTGTGAGAGCTCACACGGGCACGTACAGGAGTGCCCCCCCCCCCAGGCAGCTGCCTTAGGGCAGAGAGGGGCTGGTAGCGATCAGCCCCTGCCCGGGAGACTGACTCAAGGTAGCACCGACCAGGGGGAGGTGAGGACGGGACACCTTTTGTTTGGGTTTTTTTTTTTCTTCTGGTATTTCTTCCTGTTGCATTGTAGGTTTTTAAGTGAATGTCTGTTTTCCCTGCCCCTTCCCCATCCTTCCGTGCACAGTCCCTAACTGCTGCAGGGAGGGGGTGCGACAGCGGCTCTGACACCTGCCGGCGGCTCCGTTTTGGCTCAGGGAAGGGCCAGGCTCCCCCTGCCGCCCCGTCCCACCACACACCAGCCTCTGGGTCACGCGGGCGGTCGCCCTAACCCCAGAATGCTTGGTGGGGTGAACTCTGTGCTGGGCTCTGAGACTCGGGGTGGTCGGTGGAAGATATAAATATCTTCACGTAGCTGTAGGAGGGTCTGTGCTTGTAGGGCTGTGTGCTTCGGGGCTTCCAGAAGCTTCTGTACCTGACAGGTACAGCGAGCATTGGCTGGAGATGTAGGTTTAGCAGATGTTATAGATACCACACAGTCGCTGTGACCGATTGAGCCCAGAGCTCGCCCAGGGGCTGGGCTGCATTCCCACGGGGCTGGGTTTGAGTTGCAGATGTGTTTGTACTGCGGGCGAGAGGGAGGGCAGAGATTTCGCGATCTCCTGCTTCCCTGCTCTGCACAGCACGTGTTTGAGCGTTTCTGCTCTGGCCTGCCAGAGGAGACGTGTCTTTGGGCTCAGCAAACGCTACGGGGTTGGGGTTTGGCTGGTTTCTAAGAAGGGGGGAAAAAAAACATTTTTAACATTAGCAGTTTTTAGAATGTGCAATTTAAGGGACAATGAGAACATGAACAAGATAAAGCCAAAAGCCAGTGCAGGCGGGCACGGAGGGAGCTTGTCGCCTGCCCTCCCCGGGGCAGGAGTCCCACCTGAGGTCAGGTAACGATGCTGATGGTGCCCCAAACCAGGCAGAGATTTTAGGCCAGCTTTGACTGGCTTCTCAAGGTCACTGTGACTAAGGTGACTGACGTGGTATCCTTTCTGCCTTGTACTCGCCTTCTTGTAAGGTTAAAACTGATCTGATCTGGTAGGGTTTCAGAAATGAAAGCCAGGATGCTGGATGTTGGCTAAAGGACAGCCAACGCCACTAGAGCTGTCAGAACCCAGGAGTGGATAAATACAAGTCATGGATTTATACAGATTTATGCACTTATAGAAACCTAGCAAGTTCCACATTACTTTTACTGCTCTAAAGAGTTCCTGTCTTTTTTTTGTCTTTTTTTTGTCTTTTTTTTTTTTTTAACCAGAATTGCCAATACAGATTTAGCCTTCCGTTACAGAAATCCTCACAACCGATCCTGCAGAAACCTTAGATCCAAAGCAAAGGAGGGGTGGGGAGGGGGCATTAAAACATTGTACCCTCTTCAAAAAAACGGTTGGGTTGGAGTTTTAACATGTGGATGCTGAGGTCAATGTTTTGCTTTGCAGAATGGGAGATTGAAAGGAAAGTCCTTGTCATTTCCATTTCTGTGCGGTTAGCATTTGCCGTCAGCCTGTTTCCCTCAAAAGCCTCTTACGGGCCCCAAGGGGAACACACCTTAAATGTGACACCAAGAATTTACTGATTGTCCAGTTAATATTTTAACAATTTAATAGCCCAAATTATTGGTCCTGTCACAATAATAAAACCTGATAGTCCAAATTAATAAGGCAAAGTCTCAAGGATACAGTAAAAACTGTTATGCAGTGGAAACCCTTCCTGGTGCTTTCCCCTTTGGCTGGGGTTGAGCCCCGCTTCAGTGTCCCGCCGGGCCCCGAGGCGACGGCTGTGAGGCGATGGCAGCGA